CAGTTATAATAATAATAATAATAATAATACATTTGATTTCTATAGCGCTTTTCTTGAACCCAAAGACGCTTATTTGAAGTTATGTGAAATCTGTTGAAAATAATACATTTAATTAAAGTCAACGACACGCCAAGTGTGAATAGGCTTATCATTTCAAACATGTTGATGTAGATTTTATAAAGTATATTTATTTATAGCGCTACTTTATCAAAATGCTCTTGTCGTTTCCAGAACTCATTATATTTTTAATGAAGTGACCCAGTAACCCCAATTTAAATCTCTACTAACCCACTGCACAACACTATTAGTTAATAAACCACATGTAGTGTTGGTGTTACACGTAACAATCTCTCTTTAATCTGCTTTTAGTCAATAATCTCCCACTTTAAGGATGGTTTGTGGACTTTATGTTCACCTCCAAGGTTTGACCCTGCACCTACCTGGTTGCAGTCCAATATTAATTTGCCCAGCAGAGGGCGCTCGCAGCCCGCCCAACCCTCCACCCCTATCACATCAGAGGAGGGCACTACCACCCAATTGCAGTACCGTTCTGATCCCTTTAATTGCTTCCTTCCTGTAGTTAATTGCTGCCAATCTGTCCAGCCTAAAAACCCCGAGCTACAATACATTGTCAGAACCCCATACACCCTATTTCTAATTGGTTCATTTATACATTACCCCACAAACTTGCCTGTTTCAGCCAATTCAGAGCTGTCAGTGGAAAAGCCTGCAGACAGATCTAGATAAGCCCCTGCACCTGTGAGCTTTGCATGCACAAATTGTACAAACAGCTGTCAACATCTGCAATGTATTGAATCTTTGCAGGTAGTCACTTACAATTAGGATTGGAAAAACAAAGTTATGCTTTGTGCAAAAGCATGCAAATTCATTTACTATAAATCAGTTTACATAACTACAATGGGAGCAACATTTGCAACAGATTTAAAGAAACAGTTTAAGAGGTGTGTTAATATTGAAGGCGGTCTACTACTACTACTACTACTACTACTACTACTACTACTACTACTACTACTACTACTACTACTGCTGCTGCTGCTGCTACTACTACTACTTGCATTAGTATTTTTTGCATGTCTCCCGTCAATGGAAGCTCTACTCTACTATGACCCCTCCCACTTAATCTTGGCCGAAATAGAGCCGTTGTGAAAAGAAAATATGTCATTTAGCAACGAACTTTACCAATGAAATCACGTGTTTCGAGTTTAAATACATCTTTATTTGGTGTGTGAATAATTTTCGGGATAAAAGCATGAAATTATTTTGAGGTTGTGTGATATTTTCAATGCCGGCGAGTGTTTCGCGGGAAAACGAGCGGAGGGATACAGCGGATGAGTAGAGGGAGTTAGTAGGGGGAGTGGTCGGGTCGTTTTATTGCAGGCCGCGAAGCTCTCAGCTGTGATTCTCACGCTGCTGATGACAGACAGTGCGTCGTCCTCACCAGGTCGCTGGTGCAGCCTTTCAATTTCCCATGCATGCTTCAGACAGCCTCACAGAAACCACCAGCAACACCTACGTGGAAGGACTTAATGTTACTTTCGAATTGGAATAACTTTCCTGCCCTTTTTTGCGCCCTTTGGGTCGACTTCGCCTCGTCTTTTTCCGCCGAGAGTTTACAATCTAAAAGGTAAGGTGCTGACTGGGTTTCTGGAGATTGCACGTTAACTTCTCACACCAGTTTAGTCAAAAATGTACTAGTTTATCATCAGTAGCAGTTAACTGAAGGTGGGGCTCCCCCTCTTGCACTTAATTTACTATCAGTTTCCCAGTTGAGCACCTGCTGCTGCAGTGGCGACTGCAAGAGGGTCCATGTTTTGGAGTGACCATGTGATGTTGTTGCACTTAATGTTGCAGAGCAGGATCAGTGCCAAGCAGCTGCATTGAACCTGCAGACCTTTTAAGAATCAACATCTAATCAACCTTTATTTCTATTTCTTTCAATCAGCTTCACGATAAGGAAAAAGACAACACATTCAAAATGCCGCTGAATTCAAGTTTGGCGAGTAAAAACTATGACTACGACTACGATTCTCTTCAACCGTATTTCTACTATGACAACGAGGAGGAGGATTTCTACCCTCAGCAGCTCCAGCCTCCGGCACCGAGCGAGGACATCTGGAAGAAATTTGAACTGCTGCCGACCCCTCCCCTCTCCCCGAGCCGCCGGCCGTCCCTGTCAAGCCTCTTCCCCTCCACGGCGGATCAGCTGGAAATGGTGACCGAGTTTCTGGGCGACGACGTGGTCAACCAGAGCATCATCTGCGACGCGGACTACTCCCAGACCTTCCTTAAATCTATCATCATCCAGGACTGCATGTGGAGCGGCTTCTCCGCCGCAGCCAAGCTGGAGAAGGTGGTCTCCGAGCGGCTAGCCTCCCTGCACGCCGCCCGGAAGGAGTCCGTGTCCGGGGACTGCCCGGAGCCCACCGGAGCATGGAGGCTAAATAGCAGCTACTTGCAAGACCTCAACACAGCCGCGTCAGAGTGCATTGATCCGTCTGTGGTGTTCCCGTACCCGATAGCAGAGACGCCCAAGCAGAGTGCAGGGACGCTCCCTAGTAAGGATCTGGGACTGGACACCCCGCCTAACAGTGGCAGCAGCAGCAGCAGCAGCAGCAGCAGTTGTAGTGACTCAGGTAAGCTTTGAACACATCATGCTGTCACACCCCTCTGTGCAATTAGGAATTCCCTCTGTGTGCAAAGATTGTAGTTTGATATAAAGGATGCTTGTGTTTATTAATGTGATACATGCAGGAGGTGGACATGCTGCCTGTTCCACACATGATGTTGTCTGTTGTAAGATTAGAGAAGGGTTACTCCCTCCATTTCCACACTAGCATGAATTCAGATTGTGATTGTTTTGATTTGTTTTATTGTTGCAGAAGATGATGATGAGGATGATGATGAAGAGGAGGAGGAGGAAGAGGAAGAAGAGGAAGAGGAGGACCAGGAGGAAGAGGAGGAGATCGATGTGGTGACAGTGGAGAAGAGGCACGCGGTGAAGCGGTGCGACCCCAGCCCCACAGAGTCCAGGCATCCCAGTCCGCTCGTGCTGAAGAGGTGCCACGTCTCCACCCACCAGCATAATTACGCCGCCCATCCATCCATGAGGCACGAGCAGCCGGCTGTCAAGAGGCTGAAGCTGGAGAACACCAGCGGCAGCAGTAACAGCGGTGGAGGTGGGGGGGGCGGCCACAGCAGGGTCCTCAAACAGATCAGCAGCAACCGCAAGTGTTCAAGCCCGCGGACGTCTGACACGGAGGACTATGACAAGAGAAGGACTCATAATGTTTTGGAGCGTCAGAGGAGGAACGAGCTCAAGTTGAGCTTCTTTGCCCTGAGGGACGAGATCCCTGAGGTGGCGAACAACGAAAAGGCTGCCAAAGTGGTGATCCTGAAGAAAGCTACAGAGTGCATCTACAGCATGCAGTCAGACGAACAGAGACTCCTCTCAGTAAAAGAACAGCTGAGGAGGAAAAGTGAACTTCTAAAGCAGAGACTCTCACAGCTGCAGAGCTCTCGCACTTAAAGTTGAAATCATCATAGACTTTTTGGCCTTTTTTTTGTTTTTTATGCAAGTTCAAGACTTGGGGTGTACAGTTGTTGTTGCATGCAAATGCAAAGCGGATTAAGTTGTTTTGAAATCTTGTTTGATTTCAATGTTCAAACTGCCTCAATTGAAGTTATGGGTGGAATACATATTTAAAAGTTTATTTTTATTAATAAAATATAAAAAAAAATCGGGCTTCTCTGTTGAGAGCCCAAACTAAAATATGCATTTTTATGTTTTGTATATAATTAATATTTCCTAAGAAAATGTATTTTTGGATCTCAATTGTCTGGATGTTCAGACCCAGTGTTTGGTTTTTCATTATGTTCCTAGATTCTTTTTGAAATATAAAAAGATGTTTCTTCTTGAATTTGTGTCCTTGTTCTTGCAAAGCAATGCAAACACACATCACACATTTCGTCACATTAATATGTTCTGGGGCTAGGGGTACATGTTGTAGTGTGGGTTATTCAGAAGGAGAGAAGCCAAATAAACAAATGCATGATTTAAATGAAGTGTCAGACTTGGACCAGATGCTCATGTTTGGGTGTAATGATGCATAGACAGTCACTCTTCCTACTTTTAATTAAAAAATCAACTACCTTTGGGGCTAAAAAGACAAATATCTTCCCTTGATACAAGTTACAATGGCCTTGTGAATGGTCATAAAGAATACAGCCAAGGTAAGCTAAAACCATGGTCTCTGCATGAAAATATGTAATCTGTTACTATGGCACAATTTGAATTTAAGAAAAAGCTTGTTGAAGACAATCCAATAATTTATATATACACACACACATATATATATATATATATATATATATATAGACATATGACTAATTAGTACCATTACACATATATTTTGTAAAATCAATTAGAACTGTTTTGCTTTCAATATGCACTAGATTGATGCACACAGATTTCCTACATGTTTTTTTTCCTGAACATCTTCTTGGAACAAAGTGTAAGTACATTGAAAGCTTATTAATATTTATTTTATGTTTAAAATAGGCCTACTTTGGCAATGAAACTGAAATCTTAAAATTACTTACTCAGATATAGATATATCTCAGATCATATTTTAGTCGGAGTGCATTCAAAGCATTTTGCTTTACAGTTGCAAACACAGATGTAGGATTGTTCAGACTAAACTGTCTAGATGTGTGTGTTTCTTGACAATACTATATCATTGCTATAATATAGTAGCCAAATATGTCTTGGAGGGAATCTCAAAGTAAATGTATCAATAATAGCGACAAAAACTCTTGATAACCTCCAAGTGAAGAACCACACATGGTAAAGTCTATACGATAATGTGTTATAGGCTTGTTTATAGCATGCCTCCTTGTATTATTGTTGATATTGCACGGATTTCTCGATCAGCTTTCCAGTCTCGCCGTGACGTCACGCGCCATATCCAGAGCGCTCCCCTGAGCGCGTGGTCCTGGTCGCGAGCACATGGAAGTGAGGTCGAGATTTGTGTCAGTGAGACGCGAGACTGATCATCAGAAAAAAGGAATATAAAAGCGATAAAGCGGCCACAAATACTGAAGTTAAAGCGGTAAGAGCTTTTCTATGTGTCCTCTATCGATTGCATTCTTTATTTTTAAAGTCATTGTTTAGTTAGCACTGATAAGACCTGATGATATTATCAAGCAAAGGCTCGTTATCTTCAATGTGTCTGATGAAAACTTAATTTAGAGGAGCAATAGTCGCTATGGGGCATGTGAACGGCTTTGCAGAGGTTTAATGTGATGTGAATATAAAACCTGTCTGAAACTATTGTTCTCAGGAGAAGTATTATTTTCGTCTGGCTTCTCTGTTGTCTGTCTAACTCCTGTTAATGCTGCTGGAGTTGTTTGTATGCCTGTTCTGTTAGGCTATTGTTGATGTCTGCTTTATGTTTTTTTACTGTATACTTTCCCTGTCGTTACTCTCCTTTATTCTCCATGGAGCACTAAGTATATCTGTTTTGCATTGTTTTATCCCCGTCAGTGATAGATCATAACAAAAGATGAGAAAAGGCTGTGATAACATCAGGAAGTGCTCACTGCTTATTCTAAATGTATATGTCAGTTTATGTAAATGTTGTTTGTTTGCAACTAAAGAAGATGTATTTTTTGAATGAGCAGAGCAGAGCAGAGATGGTGTATGAGGTGCAGCCATACTGAGACATGGGAGGACCACAAAAGATGGGGTTAGTGTGGCTTCATTGTTTGGGCTTTCTGGGTGGGCAGGACGGTGTATTGTGAGCAGGGAAAGTGTGCTGTGTGCTGTGCCTCCATGACAACATGCACCCAACCTCCTCCAGTTTTTGTCCAGGGAAACACTGAAACCCTGTGTGGAGGTGATGTAACTTTGGCTAAAAAAAGAGTTGAAAAAAGGGTGAAAAGTAAAAGTTTTGTACGTGTCTTGGTTACAAAAAGCCTCTGATTCCAACCGCATTTCTGTGACTGCTTTTCACCGCTACACACTGTAGTTCACCGCAGTTATTGCAACATCTAAATATCTTTAAAGACCAGTATTCCATCTTTCATAGGTGATCTATCTCCTACTGTTCCTATGATATCTATCAAGTATTCTATTCATGTCCAAACGGGCTCGGCATCAGGTAGAAATACAGTGTAATTATCCTGATTTAGACATGCGCTGGGGTGAAACTAGTCCCAGTTTGTGCATCCAGTACATTGATTGAACTTTACCAATAATATATAGTAAAACATTTACATACTTGTACTTTACGAGAATATTTTGTTTATATGACACAATTTGCCTTACCTCATTACATTCTAAAGGGGAAAAGGTGTGCTTTTTACTTCACTGCAGTTACTTACAAAACACAGAAGAGCCTCTAAAATGGGATGTTTTGTCAAAAAATGTAACTATCAATAAGTTTAAGTTGAGACAATAAGTTGATTAATTGGAGAGAAAAAAAGAATTATATCGATTTAGTTTAATTTCCCCTCAATAGGTTACATTTTAAATGCAGGAATTGTACTGATAACAGAGTATTTTTACAGTCCTTTTACCTAACAGCAACATGTTCTCCTACTTTATTTTCCATAAGACCATTGCTGATGGTAAATGTCATCAATAAAGCAAGGTATAGCACTTTTGCTACTGATGCAGGTAATAAAATAAAAAAACCATTTTGTATTATGTTAAAGCTTAAAAAAAAGGAGGGGTCTGAGCTCATGCGGGAGATTCTACCGGAAGATTCTGCCGTGATGAAACGCCATATCATGGATTATCAAGGATTATTTCTGAAACAGTATGGAGCTCAAAGGCTTTCTCTCTTGCCGGTTATACCACAAGGTCAGTTCCTTTTTATTTCCTGCTTCTTCACACACATGCTCTGTGCAGTACAGGTTAGCTCTGAGTGTTAGCGATGCTAATGTAAACATGCACCGACCATATTACGTCCAAAACAGTCGGGCATTGTTTCTGATAGCAACGTTTCTGATAGGGCCGTGGGTGCAGCGTTTCCGCCAGGGGGGCATCTTGCCATCATTTGACGCCCTTATTCAGCTCGGAACGCCCTGAACTCGAGCCGAGGGCGTCCACAAAAATAAATAATTAGAGAGAAGATCGAGAGTTTTTATCTCTTGAAATGACGAAAAGGAAAAAGGACAAGGACATCCATCTGTTGGAGGGGCAAAGGAGTCTGGTGGGATTATTTTCGCCGCCAGCAAAGCGTGTTCCTGTGACGGAAAGTGTACTGCCCGCGAGCCTTGACTGGGGGTGCTAGTGGAGCATGCGCGTGAACTGCGAGCGCCGGAGCCTCGCAGCGGCAAAACTGAGGCTCTGTGGTAAACTGTGGTAACATGAAGAGCCGTTTGGGAGCCGAAAGAGCCGGCTTTTCTTAGTGAGCCGAGCCAAATGATCCGGGATTCCGGATCACTAACGCAAAGAGATAGTATCTATAAGGGACGGCTCAATTCATTCAGGGTGGACGCCCTCTCTGCCCTGGTCTGGCGGAAACACTGCGTGGGTGTAAAGCCAGCCTACATTTCCGATATTACGTCGTATCGGACGCAAATCTGAATCAGCTCCGTTGTAGCCCCGTTTTAGAGATTTGGGTACGGAGGAAAAGAGAGAGGGTTTTATTTTCTGACTTCCCCGACACACCGGGGACACATATTTATGTATAAAAGACATCAAAAAGTGCATTTTGCATGATAGGTCCCCTTTAAGTAAAATAAATCTTCTTGACTGACAGAAGTCTCTTGAGATAAATACTGTTGAATATAGTGTACTTGCATCCAAAGATATCCACCTTTCCTCCAGTAAGGAAGTTCATTTATATTTTCTGCGTTGTAATGATGACATCAGCATACTTGTGTGATACTCCTCATACTGGAGCAGTTTTGCAGTAAGGGTTGTATTACAGTCTATCTTAAAATATGTGAGTTTTCCAGTCCTTCTTACACAGAGCCAAACTGTCCTGCCTGACCACAACGACTGCACACATACTTTTCAGATACTTTAGAGGCCCAGGAATACATGGAGGTCTGCTGTTATGTAATCTGTATTTTCCAGAGCTGGAATAGATTAAAGCACCTCCTGAAGTCAGGACTGTAGCCGCTCTCCAGCTAGAGTTTTCTCTCTGGCTGCGTCTCATTTTACAGCATCATTATTATCACATGACATCACTTGCCTCTTTGGGAATATGCTGCCTCATTTACATGCTCAGTGTCTGTCTCTGAGCTGTCAGTGTGTTTTCATTGGCGGCGTCGACCTGTGTGTTTGGCTTCCAGCACGTTGCCTGCACACTGTTTTCATTTCACCACGTGAGAGTACAGGAGTATGTTGCTGAGGAATGTGACACGTGTGCTCTTAAAACACATACTTCAAGTGGAACTGAAGTTTAAAGGGTCTTGGTTTTTTGTATCAAGACATATAAACTATGAGCCTGGAGGAGTTGTGCATACATTTTCCTTTTTTGAAGCCTTTTTTGGAGCTTTAAACCTCAGGGTGGGCGTTACCCATGGAAACAGTTTTAAGCTGTGTGTCCTTTTTACAATATTTGGGATAGAAATACATGAGCATATTTCAGATCAAAGCTGCGTTTTGAAATGGCTTTGGTCCGAGCAAGGGGGCCATAATTAGGAGGTTAGGAAGTGGGCTGGGCCCCCGCCAAATTCTGCGCCCCTGGCCCGATTTTGGCATTGCTTCTGGTTGGATCCCATCATGGTCTCTTTATTTTATTTAAGTTTGACTTGGAAAAAGGTTCTCAGTCCAAATATTCAAAATGTTAGGGTAGGTTTATTTGTATCTTTAACCTAACTAGTTATACTATATTTTACATAACTTCACTTATAGTAACTTGATCAGTTAAACAGACTTAATTCCTCAGATTTCTTTTTTCTGTATAGCTCCGAGCAAGAACAACATAGGCTCTAGTTGGACAGTCACTTCCAATATGTTTTTAATTTCCTCCTTAACAGATTTCCAAAATCCTTCTATTACTGGGCAATCCCAAAAGATGTGTGGACCCCTATTTTTCCACATTTCCTCCAACATAATGCAACCAAGTGTCCTTGTACGTACTTAGAAAATAAAGGCCGCCACAATTAAATATCGTCCGCCACAAATAGATCTCATAAATAAAAAATAGGGCTGATGATCGGAGGGTTGCGAGTTCAAATCCCGCCTGGAACACCACCACTAGTGTGCCCTTGAGTAAGGCACTTAGCCCTCAGTTACTCCGGGGAGAATGTCCCTGTAATTGGTCATTGTAAGTCGCTTTGGAATAAGGCGTCTGCTAAATGCCTAAATTGTAAATTATATTTTTGGGAGAATAAACCCCACAGATCCTCAACTCCGGTGTGTCTCACTCATTAACAACACAACACAGAGCAACAAGAACGTTGTCTGCTACAGTAGCCATGAACTTGTATGTATGTTGTTATTGGAGGGAGGGGGGGTGAATGCGTGGGCCACACGAATAGGTTAAGGGGCCACACGAATAGGTTAAGGGGCCTTTGTCTTTTCTTGCCCGGGGGGAGGGGCCCCCACAAATAGAATCAAATTATGTGGGAAACACTGAACTCTTGCCATAACTGGCTTTAATTTCTCAGATTGAAATAGTAAGTAGGCCTTCATACTGTATGGAGCCTCAGAAAGAGACCATTTGGAGCTGCAGTCGCTCACAGACATACAGGATCTGGCTGTTATGTAACTCTATTGGTCCCTATGGCGAATGATGTCATTGGCTCACCTTATATGCTTTTAACATAAAGCATTTAAATAAAGAATAAAGAAAGGAAAGAAACTACAATTTGTAAAACAAATCTCGCTTATATTCTAAGCTCAACTCTCATTTAAAACTTCTCTTTATTTGGCTTGATGTGGTCTTCCAGATTGCCAGCACACCACCTCATATTACATTACTTCTGAATGGTGTAGCGTTCACCCTCCTCCATCATTAACTCCTAGAAAGATTCTCTGACAAGCCTTTTTTTGTGGCATATCAACTTTCAGATGTAGCGCTGATGAGGTAAAAGAGCTCCTGAATACTCTTGCTGGTCAGCCCTTCTTTCTATTTGCATGCAGAAGACGTCAGTGCATAGCAGATTGCAGTGTCATGTGCAATAGTGTACCGCCGATCCTCATCAAAGCAGGGCGCTCCAGCTGGATTACATATAATTCTCCCACTGGAGTTCCCTCATCTGAGTGGTTTCTGCAGAACTCCACACAGGAGGCCAAGGGGGGGGGGGGGCTGCTTTCTAAAGAAAAGTCCTGGTGTAGGAGAGGAATGCTGCAGTTTAAAAGCAGATACACTTGTATATTAAAGGGAGTTCAAATGTTCATCTATGTCAAGCAAGTGGAATTGTGAGTTCCTAATATTAGCTTTGTGCATCTAAAGTCTATATTCACACTTTGATCAAATTAATTAGTCAATTGACAGAAAATGAATCACCAACCATTTGGAAAAATAGTTTTCTGATTCATATATTTGAGGATTTTCTGGGTTTCTCTTTTTTATTATCATTGTATAAAGAAAAACCGTTGGTTGTAGACCGCTGTTCCCATTTTGAGCAGCCCCATTGTGCTCTGGGAATATTTCGATGGGTCTTTTTTAACTCTTCTTTGACAATCTTGTTAATCAATACAAAATAAAGAATACTTAGCTTCAGTAGGGCTGCACGATTTGGGGAAATAATCGAATTGCGATTTTTCTGACAGATATTGCGA